CTGGGCTGACAGGGTATGACTGGAGATGCCCGAGGAGGAATGCACACAGCAAGCGCCCAATCATTCCTCGTGTTTTGCGGGTCTGCGCTAACTGTCCCTCATAGGCGGACACAGGGGACTCGTGAGCAAACCCTTTCAAAACCGCGCGGACGGCTCCCCGAACCGCCGTTAAGAGCCTGGCTGCCAGGTGTCGCAGGACGAAGAGTCCGTGTCCCCAGCAAAACACTGCAGGCCTCAGGGATCCAAAGCCGGTGCCCATTTCCACCTCGTCTGCCTAAGTCAACGATTCGCAGCATCCCCAGCGCTGTCCCCAAACCACCCAGCTCCAGCTCCTGCTGGGCTGAGCCTGGGGCTTTAGAGGGAAACGTCCCGGGCGGAGATCCTGGCGAGAGGCGCTGCGCCGAGGGAGGGAAAGCAGGAAACCCGAAACCCGAGCAACGTTGAGGGAGCCGGAGAGAAGGCGAAGGCCCCGACGGAAAGCGGGGGGGAAAAGACAAGCAAGAGGAGAGACACAGAAACGGGGAAGCAGACGGCGGAAGCGAGAGCCCGCGGGAGTGCGCGAACCCGCTCCGGGCGCAAGGCGCCGGGCGCTGGACGGCCAGAGGCGCCCCAGCTCTGTTCCCCACCGCGCCCCACCCGGCCCAAGGGGAGCTCCCCACCGACCAATTTGGCTTGCACAAAACCCGCGCCCCAGGGGGCTTTGCCTGGCCGCTGGGGCTTGATTCATTTCTTGACTAATTAACTGGAAGCTAGGTCGCCTCTTCTTTCGGGGCCCAATTAATTCGCCGCGGGCGGTGGGGCGGGGGCCGTGAGGCCTAGGCGCCCGCCTGGAGCCCCTTTGTGAAGGGCCGTCTGGACCATATTGATTCTACACACACACACACACACACACACACCCTCACCCTCCTTCCTACGTATATAAAAAAAAAAAAAAGTCTTCAAAGCGCTGGATTGCCAGAGTTTAAGAAGGATTGTCAGCCTGTCACTCCCTCCTCCCCCCACCCCGCCCAACCAATCGCATTTGCTTCCAGCAGGAAGGGACCGACGGGCTAGGGCAGTTTCCAGATCTGCCTGGGCGAGGGTTAAATGGAATTTCTCCCCATAAAGGGCAAAAAAGGAAAAGAGATAGATGGCCACTGTGCACCTACTGTGTGCGCGCGCGCAGGGCACCTACTGCCTCCCCGTTAAAAGCCAAAAAATGAACCAGAGCATCCCCAGGTGGAATCCCAGCTCCACAAGAGACGAACGAGCTGTGAAACCCGGGGCAAGTCTTTATATCTCCCTGCATGACTCAGTTTCCTCCTCTCTGGAGACTGGAGCTCACTGGGAAGACACCTGCCTCCTCCGATTGTTGTATTTGATGAGCTGACGGGCGGAAACGTTCTTAGAACATTACCATTCACTTGAGCCTTTCACAAATGTTGTCTTCGGTAAAGGGCATTTCATAAAAACCCCGTTTCGAAGATGAGGAGGGGACCCCGGGCTAAGGAGCGCAGACCCGTTGCCGTAGCAATCCTGGTGTTTGACTCCAAGGCCAAGATGCTGGCGGACGAAACCTACCAGCGGGGCTTTTCGAGGGCTAGGCGGGGCTGGGTGCCAGTGGAGAGCGCTCTCCCTGCCCGGTGGACCCAGAGGCTCACTCGGGTGGGACTGGAGGCTTCTTCCCGCCCACCTTACCCCCATCCCGGCTGCGAGAGAGTGAGAACGTCCAAATCCCAAAAGCTCTAGTTGGAAGCCAGCGCTCAGCAGCGAGGGTGATTTCCCAGCGCTTGTGGGGACCTCATCGATTGTATTGACCTTAACGGTGGGTCAGCTCGTCTCCATCATCGATCAACCGAACGAAGTCTGGGACTGAACTAGAGACGAAAGGAAATCACAGCCGCCGTCTTTGTAGAGCTAGTGGAAAGTGGCCCTGGGGCGCCAGAACGCCCGGGTGACCCGTGCCCGCCGCACCCTCGCGCAGCGCGTCGGGAAAACGAGCTTCTCACCTCACTCCTCTTTACGCGATCATGGTGTCATTTTTTAGTTCTGTTCTATATTTAAAACCCAAAAACAAACAAACAAGGATTCGTTTATTCAATCAACAAACACTGGATGAACGCCCGGCGCGTGCCAGACTGAGCTGGTCGCTGGGCTACTAATGAGGGAAGAGGTCTGCAAAGAAACAGAAAATCCTGGCGGTGGGGGGGGGGGGGGGGGGGCGTTGTAAAGGCTTCTTCGCTGTCACTTTTAGCACTGTGACCTTGGGCCAGACCCTCTCCCACAGTCCCTATCCGTGAAGAGCGACACAGCACTGCCGAGTCCTAGGCAAGGTGTAGGCGCTGTCTGGGAGAAACGGATGGAAGAGTCTGGAGGTTACATCTTCCAGTACAGCCCGGAGCGCAGAGCTTCAGGGAGCAGATCTGGGGAAGTCCTTTGCAAAACCTCATCAGGGTGTAGACTGATTCCTGAAAACTGCCTGGCACCTGCGACAACCTCAAGGGCCCTTCGGCATTTTCAGGGCTCCAGACGCTGCTGCCTCTTCCCAGGATCAGAAAAACCACCCGGCCCGACCTCCCCCAGCACGCAGAAAAGCTGGGGCTGGACTGAGTTTGGCCTTCCTGCCTGAGATGTTGAATGTAAGCCTTCTCCCACCCCGCCCTTCCTGGGCCTCGATTTTCCTCCTCTCTGAAATGGAAATGTATATATATTCTACGCACCGCAGTGGATAAAGTTCACGACAATAAGGATCAAGCCAG